ATGCATGCGAGCGCGTCACAATTGGCTTTGGTTTTACTTCTGATTGGATGAAAAGGTGGCGCGAATCTTTTAAGCCAATCGCATCGTGTAGAAAGTGCAAAACCAATTACTTTTCGACACTCAAATGAAAACTGCTCTATAAGCTTAAAACTAAATTTAATAATATTTTTTACAGAATTGTTTTAAATACAAACAGAATTCACAACTCCCTTTGAAGAGACTTCCCCGCAAGAGCTAAACAAACGCCTTCAAAAGTTTTATTTGTCGCTAAGAAAAAGCGACGACCGCGGCCGTTCGGTCATCACGCACCAAAATTGTAATCGTTGGCAACAGTAAATGAGTTAAAAATCATCATTTTGTGCTCAATTATCTCACTGTTTTAGTATATACTAAAACAATTATTCACCTTAGTGTCGGTGGCTAGTATTGGATATTTACCTCGCCGCTTCACGGCTTCGGTAAATATCCAATACTAGCCACCTCCAGTTTGGTGAATAATTGTTATATATACTGTATATTACCTTGTCATCTGTGTAGTCAGTCCTTGCAAAAACAGTCAACACATCAGCTAAACCTCCATTAGAAATCCAAATCTATTGTTCAGAAATAACAAAAACAACATTAATCAGTTTGAATTTAAAAAAATATAAAATGAGAGTAAAAATGTCAATATTGATATTTTTAAGGTACAACACAAGGCTGTCATTAAGACGCAGGGGCTGGGATTTTTCTCCAGCTACCATGAACCTAGCCCCTACTATCACTTGAAAATACATGTAGGAGGTAAATGGAACCAAAAGAAATCCCTAGCTGTTCCATTTCCTACCTACTTGTTGTATTTACCAGAAAACTTGAAATCTTAGTGACATCGCTGGTACAACACCAACCTTCGATCCATTAAGAAGAAAGTGTTTGCCATCAGTACTTAGACTGGCTCTAGACTGAATAGACGCAGCATCACTACCACTACAATTTACAAAATAGAATTTGAAAAGGATGAGTCTTAATGTGAAAAAAGTTAGCGCATTATATATTACAATGATGCCATTAGAGTGTCACCTTTGAAATGATGATGATGTCATCCTGACAAACGTAAATCTAGACAACTTTTTTTTAATGCCTGATACATTTAAATAGGAACAGGATTCCCCACAAACTAGTGTGTGGTTTATTGCCTGGGGGCTTGAAGCAAAAAGATTTCCCCTCTTGTAAGTAAAAATTAATATTAAAATAAGGAAGTAACCATAAAATAAATAATGTTGTGGAGGTAATATGGCCAAGCTTTGCTGTTGCCTTGTTTAATTCCATAGCCAAGAAACCTTACCCAAATTTTCTCTAATTTAAATGTGTACAAGTGACACACACATAAATGTTGGGGTAATTAACATATATTAACTGCAAAAAAGTGCCATGGACTAACATCCCACCCAGGATGGGGGTAAGCTTCGGACATTGTAAGCCCCATGAAATGTTTCCCATAAAAAAGTTACTTTAATAGTACAGAGATGCTTGTCAGAAAATCAGAATGTTGCACCTCTAAAAGGAGAACAATTTGGACATGACACAGGTTTCATTTGACTCCGAAAGGATCAGACCTGATACTCCAACAAAGTACAGCATGATGGCACTTTTTACCTTTTTTGTGCAGATATTTCTCTTACACACAACCCTTAATAGTACAGTGGTGTCTATGTTGTAGTTAATTTTTTATCTCAGGTAATTTTTATTTTTCCTTTGTTTCAACTTCGTTAGCATACATTATCATACCCAAAAACAAAAGAAAAACAAAAATTACCTGAGATAAAAAAATAACTACAACATCTACTTTAATGGCAAAAAGTATTTGCATTTTGTCTTGAACAATATAAGTGATTTAAAAATAATTTTGCAATTTCCACCTCTAGAGTGTAAGTGAGATGACAAGCATCCCGGCGCATGGGGAGTCCCCATGGGAAACCATGGCTTGTGTCCACCTTCATCCACTCATCACAAGGCATGGTGAGCAGAGTTTCAATCCAGGACCCACCCGCCTGGCACTGTGTTTTTAGTTTTCATTTCCAGTTATTTAACAACTGGATGAAATATAATCTGTACCTTGATGGCTCTGTGAGACAGAATGCTGCGATGTGTTCACCAGAAGCCAGCCTTGGTAAGTACTTCCTTTTCTGTTGTTCATTTCCGCAAATAAGAATACCCTGGTAAAAACAAAACCAATAAATAATTATGGAAAATACTCAATTGTTAATTTTTAGTTCTCAAAAAAATTAAACATAACAGCATAACTAGGGACTGTAAAAGAAAGCAATGATCTATGAATATAATAACTTTGTTGACACGCTGACTGCCTATTATTATTATTATTATTATTATTATCATTATTATTATTATTATTATTGTTGTTGTTGTTGTTATTGTGCATGCTTTACAGCGTACATGTATGTACATGATAATGCAGAAACATTGCTGATACCAGTGCAAGATTGGTCTTTGATTGAAGTGCTGCCAACTCTATCCCAGCATTTTTTTCTCCAGACAGGTAGCTAGGTCTCCAGTCTCCTCAGAATAGTACCCAGTGCACTGATAACAATGGCAACAACTTTGTCTTCTAGTTCTACAACTCTCAAGTACCAGATCAAGTTGATCATGATGATGATGATGATAATGATGATGATGATGATGATGATGATGATGATGATGATGATGATGATGATGATGATGATGATGGTGATGATTATTACTATTAAATATAATAATAAAAAACAGGATCAGACCTTCAAACCAATTGACTGATGGGCCATAAGAGTGACGGCAATACTGGCATCTAATGAGAAGGCTTCAGCAACTCTTGCATAATTGGTGTTCAGAAGACCAAGACCTCCTAAAATTTCAGCCAACAGAAAGTCATTTAATGCATGCATACACACTGGATTGCAGAGCAAGTTAGTTTTAAACTTATTTGAGTCAGTGTCATGCCTGTCTTATGGAAAATTGACACTTGGTCAGAAAAATGTGACGATCAGCCAGAACCAAATCTACACATTACTTTAAAAGTCCAGAGGTGTCCATATAGAGACAGATGAATTTCCTTTAACTTTCTTTCAGAATATTTGAACCTTAAACGGTCTAAAGACATCAATATAGTCAACACCAATATTTTCTATCCCACTCCACTCTCACCTGGATAAACATATGTCTTTGTAGACAAAATAAACCACTACTAAAAGTAAGTGAATAAGAATAACGGATCTCACCATATTCTTCTGGGATCTGCAGACCGAAAAGACCCAGCTCCTTTAGTCCTTCCATAACATCATTAGTAATTTTTGCATCCTTGTCTATCTGGCCAGAATCCACTGTAAGGTAACAATCACAAGTTATCTTCAAGCATTCAATGTCAGTGAGTGAAGGTTTGTTGCGAATGACATTAAAGTCAACCCCAGGAATAATATGGTAACATGTGACGTAAACCTTCAGTATGCTGTAAACTGCCATAGAGGCCTTGGCCATGGGGTTATACATCTTCATTTGGGGTTGTAGAAGGGCTTATAGACTGAGGAGCTTGCATCCAAGGAAGCATACAACTACAACAGAAAAAGAGCTTCGAAACAAGCTACGGTAGGGCTGATCAAAATACGTTTTGCATTTACTGGTTTTTAATTAAGCTTCAAAACATCATAAATTAAATTCATTTGAATCCATTTGGAGGGGGGCTTATCTGACGGGGGGGGGGGGGGGAGGCTTATGTTTGGATATATTTTCTGTCAAAAGATATAAATGAGCCCATAACTGGGGGAGCTTATAATAAGCAGCAAATTACAGTATAAGGTATTAGTAAAATCCAACTAGTGGTCTATTATCAATGCAGGATTCTGATTGGTTGAGCTACTACTAGGCTATATGTCATAGCCCAGTGGTAGCGAAAAGCACTGGCTTTTTGGCGGCAAAAAGGATTAAAGTCTAGCTTTAAGCAACTAAAATTTTTTTATTCTCGATATTTTTGACCAACTAGTTGGATTTTACTACAACAATGATTATTATTCCTCTCGCCCTCATGGCCTCTGAGTCAATAGCCTGTTCGGCCTTCGGCCTCATGGGCTATTGACTCAGAGCTCATTCAGGCTTGAAGAATAATTGTTCAACAGTTTACAGTAGAACCTCCACTAACGGCCACCTTCTTCTTCAATGGCCACTTTTTTTATCCCAGCGGACAGTCCATGCGTTTTATTGACTTTTATTTAAACCTCTTTACAATCGCTCAATCTCTCTACAATGGCACAACAGCCAAAAGCATGTCTCCAACTACCAAAATAACCTCTCAAAAATGGCCAGTTTTTTGAGCCACTTTTGAAAAAGCCAAGAATGACCATGAAATTTGATCTGTAAGGCACGATGATTAATATTTATTGCAGCAATCGTGTATTTTGATTGTGTTCCATTTATACTGCTACAGTAAGCAAGACTTATCTTCGAATTTGTAAGGTTTGTCAAATTAACATTTTGTTTCAAAACATTATTCAAGTTTTTTGGTCATTTTTTCTCTATATATTATTTGTAATAATTTTTTGGTTAACATTACACAACTGTAAATAAAAGAAATGGAGAAAGATGAAACCAAATATACAGTATATCAGCTGTTTTCAGCTATTGTGCCATTACCTTTGTCCTCAAAGAATTTCTCTACGGGCTCAACAAGCATGTTCAGAGTTGCCATCTGCTCTTCATTAAGTGGCTCAGGAAACGGGAAAACTTTTTCCTGTGCAAATGAAAAAAAAATTCTTAAATGGGAGAACAAATAGGTGACCAAATTATATTTGGAAACTCATTTTCAAGGCTTTACTGTTACCATGGTAACATGTTATGACATCATCAAATGTCTGAAAATAACAAGTTTGTCAATATACCAATGAAAATCTGAACATGCAAGAACCTATACCAGCTTTTAATTTTAAATATAAAAATGTTTTTTATAGACCTATTTTCAGTAGGAGGAAACCCTTACTAACAGAAGTCACCTCAAAAACACTCCAACTTCCTGGAAAATCAAGCAGAAAAAGTCGAGAGCTGAGGAGGTTTTCAATCACTTACTTATTTTACTAAAAAAAACACTTAATGAAGAATGCTCGTTTCCTTAGAGTTGGTATTAAAATTTTACGTGTAATCAAGTTTTTTGAGAATGACTTTGATTGACATCATCCCTCTCTCGTGACTTGTCATTCAAAATACTGAAGTTGACATAATAACAAGAAAGCAAGAGTTTTTTTATCTTACCAGCTGACAAGTCATGATCATTCTTGCATTGTTAAGATTCAAAAACGAGAAGTTAAAACTGATATATGTCTACCTCTCTATAAGTTATAAAGATTTCACAATGCAAACAGTTATAAAAGTTTCGCATTTAACTGACCAAGTCATAAACTTTTGGAAATCATCGTTTGGCGCCACATGGCCCATCGCTTTCGCGCTTCGGATTAGCGACGTGCCTTTCCTACTTTGTTCCGATTGCCATTCATTATTATTCCATACGATTTTATCCATTTAAAAGTTAAATAGCTCATATGGCTTCAAAGATAAACTTTAAAAGAAAACAGACGATTACATTTTCATTTCCCTTACCTTGTTGAAACGGCCAAGGAAAAGGTCTTTCGCAAAAGTCGATCTCGGCTTCGAAGTTTGAATATTGCGACGCAGAAATGGTGAAATCGCGAGTCTACAAGCTCTTAAAACTTGCCTGTTAGCCCTTGACGAAAGCATGTTAACCGGAACTTTCTTTAAACTCGAACAAACTGAATATTTACATCGCGGTCGAAATTTATACTGTTGTGGTCACCTTGAACGACCTACAATGAATACCCTTTGGACCCGCCCCAGTCACTCCCCTTCTGCGCGGTTGAGCCGATCCGCTGAAAAATGTACTGCGGTAGGCAATGGCTGCACACCTTTGAGAATCTAGTCCGCTCCACAGCCGTTTTTAGTGTGGAGCGTTGCGTGACGACACTAAAAACGGCTGTGTAGCAAGACTGGTGAGAATCAGATGTTAATTTCTCAAACGGACTCAACGTCAAAGGGGGGGGGGGGTAGNATCTCGGCTTCGAAGTTTGAATATTGCGACGCAGAAATGGTGAAATCGCGAGTCTACAAGCTCTTAAAACTTGCCTGTTAGCCCTTGACGAAAGCATGTTAACCGGAACTTTCTTTAAACTCGAACAAACTGAATATTTACATCGCGGTCGAAATTTATACTGTTGTGGTCACCTTGAACGACCTACAATGAATACCCTTTGGACCCGCCCCAGTCACTCCCCTTCTGCGCGGTTGAGCCGATCCGCTGAAAAATGTACTGCGGTAGGCAATGGCTGCACACCTTTGAGAATCTAGTCCGCTCCACAGCCGTTTTTAGTGTGGAGCGTTGCGTGACGACACTAAAAACGGCTGTGTAGCAAGACTGGTGAGAATCAGATGTTAATTTCTCAAACGGACTCAACGTCAAAGGGGGGGGTGGTAGGGGGGTGGCTTGGGTAGGGGTTGTTAGCCCATCATTTTGGAAGAAGTGAAAAATGTCCTTACAAATTTTTTTCCCCTGGAAGTTATAGCCTTCTTTGGATGTTACAGCACCCATCTTTTTCAGCTCCATTAAACTTTAAAGTACTTCATTCTGCGTACACGCTGATACTCTAAACAATGTCCTGGTTAAATTCCGTCCAAATGACATGAAGCATAAAACCTTCTAGGGCACAACAATATCTATTACTAATATTTAATAGAACTCATAAAATAAATAAATAAATTTGTGTTGTTTACCCTATGCTGTATAGCACCAATGCTGGTGGGGCTGTACCATTGCCTGAAAAAGAATTCTAACTGGCCGGAGGCAAACCAGTCGGCTATTTACAAGTGTGATCAAGAATTTGAACACGGGACTACCATGAATAAATCCAGCTAGCAGTCAAAGAGAGACTTGAACTCGGGGCCTCCGAAGTGCAAGTCCAGTGCTCTAACCAAATGGCCAAGCTGCCTCCCTGAACCCATTGGCTAAACCTCTAATCAAATCAAATCAAGTCAAAACCAAATCAAGTCAAAACCTTTTTAAACAAAATGACATTTAAAGCTTAGTAGCTTGAGGGGCAGTGTATGAATATGGTATAATAATATCCTTTGGGCTGAATTCAGTGTAAACTTTTAATCACGTACTTCAATCTCAAGCTGTATCTTTGTTCTCCTTGCAATTTTTCTCATACCAATGTCGCAATGTCCTCATCACAGCAACAGAGAATTGCCTGCAGCAATATCCACAAACAAATCCCCCACACTAATTTCAATATGTTTCCTTAAAGTATTAATTAGTTGAGAGAATTTGACAAAGGATGAAAGCATTTTCCATTGGTGATCATTATTTCAACCTAGCCAATTGACTATTTACTGATATTGTTAGGATAGAGGTGATAATGGTCACTTTTGGGACTCAGGCGGTTAAGGAGGGGACAGGGAGGAGATGAAAGTTGAATCAATGACTCAAGTCACTTTGACTCCAAAAAAATGACAACTGCACAGGTTGTCAAAATGTCAGACACTAATAGGCTGATTTAGCAACAGAACGGGAACGTCATTTGATGACGAGAAAGCGCGCAAAAAGGACTAAACTCGACTTCCGGAGTGCCCAATTTGCCGCTCTGCTATTGGCCAAGCCAGTTGTTTGATTTGAGCTCGCCATCAACTAATGTTTCGGTTCTGTTGCTAAATCAGCCTATTAACAACAGGACTACACACTACAGAAAAATCATGTTGTGACATGAATGCTCGGGTTTAAACCAGTTAAAAAGTACAGTGCAATCCTGCTCTATGGACACCCATATATAATGAACAATTTTGTTCGTCCTGACAAAATGCTCACATTTTCTCTAAAGTTAACTTGCTTAATGTGGACACCAGTTAATATGGACCAACGGCCCAAGTCACAAACTCTCATTATGGTAAACTTGGCCTTATGGATGCAGGTTTTCTGCGCACTGTCTGTCACTGACATGATTGAATATTGTACCACAGGCAGCCCAGGCTCTATATGAGGGTTTGTTAGAATTTGAATTCTATAAGAAAATGAATGGATAATAAACAAAATATGTTCAAAATTCCATTTTTTGAAAAAAAATCAAAATAAAAATGACTCAATTTCCATTATTTTGTGTTGTGTGTTTTACTGTCTGTTTGCTTCTAGAGCCATTTTGAAGCCATTTCATTGAGTTTTAGATTTTGAGTTGTACTTACAATAAGTAAGTCAATCTAAAACTATAAACATATTTTATGACAGCCTGCTTAATACAGACACTATGGCATGTCCCCTTGGTGTTGGCATTAACCGGGCTCAAGCAAATAAACCACAGACATTTATCAACAGCAAATAAACACACAACAAGATCCACAGTATTAAGAGATTGATTTTTATTTGCTTCCCAGTGTTATTTCACGTCATTTTTAATAGAAGGTGTTGGGACGCTTAGCCACAAACTTAGATTTGAAGTGCGACTTGATGACACGGTGGGGCAGAGGAAACTTTATCTTGGAATTCTGTGAAACAAAAACAAATGTAACAAACAGGCATCAATCTAAATTCATGTGGTCAAGCATATTCCCAAAATCATACTTTAATGTAAACGTATCAAAACTACCCTTCTGTAAGGGTAAAATGCCTAGTTAAATGCTTAGTAATTTTTATTCTCTTGGTGACCCAAGAAACAGAACAACCCGAGTGTTCATTCCTAAAGTTTGTGGGAATAACATCTCGCAGGGTTGTCAAAAGTAGCTGGCTGCTGGCGAAAATCGCCGCCTACTTCATTAGTATTGGCCAACTACTCTGCTTGGCACTTCTTTACGGATGGTGTTTTTTAAATAAAATATCTCTGGACTAGCCGCTTACTTTGACAACACAGCCTGACAACCCTGATCTTGTCTGCTTATTGCTGCTGTTTATTGGATGATGTTAACAACTAGCAATGTGCCATAATTTTCAGGAGTTTCAATAACTTTTCATACAGTGTACATAAAGATGTGAAGTAAGCTAATTTAAAGGTAGTGATTTAAGACCTTTGTAGTATAATACAGAATGATAATAGTTCAATTGACCTTCAGAGCACAGAAGTGGCTGATTCAAAACAGATATCTGAACAAACTGGATCGTACTGAGAGACCTGCCTTACCAAACACCACCTCACCAACTGCTGATGATTGGTGCATTTGAATCATTGCTGAAATTATTAACAAAAATTTTAAAAAAATAGCTTACATGAAGCTGTTTGACATGTGGCCTTCGGCACTTGTTGGCTGGAATAACATCAACTTTCATGATCTGAATACTTGAGCCTCGTGCACGATGCCTGGCAGCCATATCCCGGTCTGCAAACAAAAATCAACCAATCATTTACACATAAGTTAGAGCTTACTCATGTTGTTTTTTACATAGAGTTGTTAGAACTGTACACAACCCCCCAACCTTGTGACCACAGAACATTAGAGTATGACCTCTTTCCAAAGCTAAGTTTACACTGGAGGAGATTTTCCAGATTGGTGGAAAATCTGGAACATTTTGATGTTGCATCCATTTTGCAGATTACATGCAGATGTGCTAATCCAACTAATCCAAACTAGAATTGTCCTAGTCTGGTCATGTGCCTGGAGATTTTGAAGTAAAAGCTCTGTATCCGATTTGTATGTCCTTAGATTTACGGATGTGGTTAAATGTCTGTGAATACGCTAAAATCGGGAAACATTTACGACTCCACAAAAATCTCCTCTGGTATTAACCTGGTATTCAAGAACTTGTCAGGTACAGTAATTCTCATTGACGTCACTCTAAGGCTCAAAACCTGGGCACAAAATTCTTCCCCATCCTCCCTAACAGGGCATGAAATTAATGTTTTTTCCAACAGCTACTTAGCTCCTAAAATATTTCAAAGTGGTTGCCAATTCTAAAAAGCTACTACACCATAAGTTGCTAACAGTAGACTTAGGGAATATGAAATATTTTGGGAACATGAGCCACTTTTCTGTAATGAACAAAGTTGTTTGGATGTCCACCATTGCGACCATTTTTTTCCTGTTCATGAAAGAATTTGGTTGGCTTTGCGGGAAATTTAAGGGCATTGCAATTGTATTAGGCCCAATTTCATGACTTAATCCATGCTAAAGCATGCCACTCAAGAAGGTGACAATTTTTTAAAAGTTTAAGGAAATACTGTGTGGTAAAAAATTTTGCGGGTTCTAGTTTTTGCGATTTTTCCAGCGATCTGCAAAAATAAGTTCCTGCAAAGATAAAAATTACCGCAAACATTTTTCCCGCAAAAATTTACTTTGAGTAAACTTAAATTGTATTTCCATTGCACATAATTAACAAAAGCGAAATTATTATCAATACTGGGTACTGGGTACTTTCTGAAAATCGCAAAAATTAATTCCCAGCAAAAAAAAACAATCTGTCCTAATCGCAAAAATTAGTTCACACAAAACACCAAAAATGGCCAATCTGCAAAAATAAACTTCCCCAAAAACTTTGTGCCACACGGTAAGTTGCACAAGGTAAATTTACTCCAACAATAGTAATGAACCTCTCCACAATGGCCACCTTGGGGACAGAAGAAAGTGGCCAGAGAAATGGCCATTGTAGAGAACTGGCCGTTGTAAGAGAGGTTAATGGAGGTTCCACTGTAAACTTAGAAAGCTGATACTAACAGCAAGAAGTAACTGCAGAAGCCACAGTCAGGTCACGATATTCCCTGTACATGTTGTGGGTACCACTGCGAGAGTCATAACGCAACCACACACCAAAGTTCTTGATCTGCAGGGGCTTTTTCTCATAAATCTATATCACAGAGAGAAACAAGCATAAGCGGACTGATTTGAGAGCTCTTTTCAATGTCTTGATGTATTGGCCGAGTGATAGTGAGGTCAATACATCAAGGCCAAGGTCTGAGATTTCCCTGTAATTACTGAACAGACGAGGTTAATAAGTTATTTATCATATGGCCTGCTTAGCACTGTTCTTTAAATGAACTGAATAAGAACACCGGAAGAAATTTTCAACAACCCCGTGTAACAGGTCATTTGAGGCTGTGTTCACAGAACAGAAACAAACCTGGCGATGGGTTGGATCAAGGACACAGCTTCTTTGACAATGAGAATTTTTATATCTTAGCCGGCAGTCAATTAAAAACCAATAACTAGTCAGCAGATAACTTTAAAAAAACACGTCACCTCAATGACTTGTACGCTTGAGCCTGTGATACAGTCATGTGACACTGGTCAGTGGATAGCCTTTTTTGACAACTGTCAATAATATGGACGTCCACTATCAAGTTTCGTGTTTAAAAACACAGATTATATAGCTTTGGACATTTTCAAGGAATTCTGTGTGAAATAGTAATCACGATCTAATCAAACTAAAACCGCTTTCTTAATGAAAGGTATTTAATCAGAGAATCATCATTTTCTGATGATGCTGTGCATCTGCAAAAGCTTGGAATACAACAAAATATACAGTTACACAGTGGCTTAAGCCCTCACTTGACCCACTCAGTTATTAGTTCAGCGGTGGATCCAGGGGGAGGGTCCGGGCATCTAGACACCCCCCTACCCCCTTTCAGACGCGACACTTGTTTGAGACTGAAATTCTTACAGTGACAGGATCATATACCACTTTTAAACAGGTTGATTTTATTTAGTGAAACACACTTTGCACTTTGCCACTACACTAAATTCCAGGGATAATAAAAAAATGTAATTGTTTTTGGGCACCCTCCTATGATCTGTTCACCTCTGCTCCCAAAGCAAAATTTCCTGCCCAACGGTGATGAACGTTCACAGATTAAAAAAGAAGTAAGTAAGTAAGTGAGAAGTAAATTGCCCCCCCCCCCCCAAAAAAAAATTTCAACAGTCCTTTCTGAGCCAAAGTTTGGACCCCCAATCGAAAATTCCTGGATCTGCCCATGTAGTTTAAGGACATGAATATACAAACCCGTCTGCAGGAAACAATCTCTCCAGTTGACTTCTTGATCTTCTTAAGTTTGGAAACAAAGTACCAGTACTTTGATTTCCCTATGACCTCATCAGGGGCAAAAATCCTCATTTTGTAGAGTGGAGGAGAAGAGTTCTTCTCTGTTGGCAGTGCCCTGCCAATGATTTCAAATTCTTTCAGCTGAAAAAAAAGAGAAAAAAAGACACAGTAGATAAGAAAGTAAATTCTACATGTACCTCCCACAACAGCAATTTACTGACAGGGAAATTTATCTTGAAATGGAAATCTTTGTCTGATATACTTTTCAGTAAGTCTGACAAAGGATGAGTTTCCCCCATCTCAAATTTATGCAATAATTGACAAAACAATTGGAGTTGAAACTCATCTTGGACAGAGGAGTGTCATAACTGTACATAAAACAAGAAAATCGCGATCAATTTTTTCTTTCCCATGCAGGAAACAGACTGAAACTAGAAATCCAGCAATTACCTCTGGATCAGAAAGTTGAGACCAAGATCATACCGTTTTACAGCATACAATAGACAATATTTGTATAATTCTCTTATAGCCCTAGGACAAAACACCACAAGCCAGGATAGTGCCAAATGCAATTTTCATGTGCAAAATCTTAGCTTCATGCTTTTAGGCCGAGTTCAGACGCCAATCTTTTCATGAGCTGAACCTAACGTACCAAAAACCTAATGCATAAATTATAATAATGTATTTTGCAAGCAATTTGACCAAAATGAGCATTTTTGTCCTTTTGAATTTCGTTCGGCTGCAATTATTATCGGCGTCTGAATAAATTCAAGTAGTTTAAATAATGGGTCGGTCTTAATGCGAATCAGGTTAGGCTCATGAAAAGTTCGGCGTCTGAACCAGGCCTTAGCTTGACAACTTTTGTCTTGACTCAATTAAAACAATTAAACAGAATACACAGGCACTAGTTATAATATTGTCAATTATTGATTCTTTACTTATTATATCCCTTGCTCTACCTACAGAACAGTTTTAAATGTCTGCACATTCGAAAATTACTCCACTATCTACGTTAAAACAGTTCACAAAAACCACAGACTAACATTTATCATTCAAAACAATCTAATGCACCTCTATAAGAAGGTTATAGCTAGATTCCCAGACACATTGAAATCCTGTTACTTTAGTTACTTTACCCAAATCTACAATGCACAGCTTAAGTCGAAATAACTCAGTTACACAGAATCCGACTAAATTTACTTCAGTTTCTTGAAATTAGTAAAAAGCTTCCATCTAAATCGTTCGTCATGGAGAGTAAACTAAGCCTGTGATCTCTATTTTGTAGCGACTGTAATTTAACCAAATTTAGAATCAAAGCAAAACCCTATGCCAGAAATTCCAATGGTGTAACACCAGTAAAAAACGAAAATAAGACAAAATATTCCAGCCTTGCGTGGTAGATGTAGCCATGTTAAAACAAAACTCCCGGTTCGATAAAACAGAAACAGACAAGACAAGAAACGAAATACAGCTTATAGTTGGGAAGCGATAGGGCTACGCTTTGCTATAAATGTTGCAATGTGTATTTCTGTACTAAAAGGGTTCGAAAAACCGGTAAATTTTAATGTTGGTTACCTCTCCACGAACTTTCATTTTGAACACGAGGGAAGAAGAGAAAGAATCGGACACTGCTGGGGGTAAAATGGCGCCGGGCAAGGCATGCTGGATCTTCGGTACCAACCTTCTTTCTTTCTACCACAGGCAAACCAACTTTCAAAGACCAAGCAACATGCAAAAAATGAACAATTTCCAGAATTAAACACGAAAAGGTGTAGGCCGCGTTCGTTCATTGTGACTTTCATGACGGTCTTTGTTAAGACCATGTTTGGCCTCCTCGACTCCCTCACGAAACGCTCTCTAGATCAGATCCTCTTAAAAACCTTTTGTTCCTGACTGCAATGCTTTTCTTGTATGACATCTAAAATAACTACTTACTTAGTTAGTGATGGGTATCACACGTGATGGCCACTAAGGGGGTGATTTTTTTCCTCGTAGTTTTAATATTGAAAATAATTCTGTATGGCCGGGATCTATCTATACAATGAACAACCGTCGAAGGTCTAGCGACCATCCTTAGGGAACAGAGGACGGGTTCAACCTTGCTCCTAATTATTAAGTTGGTCGCTGAACAGATGATATGTTCACAGTGATTACTGACAATTTTTACCTTCGGGGCTGTACGAAATGGAATAAACTCCTAAGGGATGTAGCATTGTCTAATTCACTGGCTGCTTTTAAAACTGCAATTTCAAACATTTATTAACACTTTTATTGCTCTGCGCTCATATGCGCCATTTCAGTCACTTTTGTTTTCCTATTTTCTTTTTAGACCGGCCAAAAAATGCTCAGTATGGAGTGACAGACCTAAATCGTAAATGTATCTAGCCTCCCACGCAGAGTTTCTTAGGGGTTCGCCACGCTTTCCTGCCCCACGAAGGCCCCTAAGAACGTCTGCGTGGGAGGCTAAGCGGTCACCTATCAATTTTCCGAAATTTGCTTCTCATATTTACTGTAAATATGGCCTCTATTCAACGGTCACCTCTATTAAGCGGACGCGGTCACCATTTTGATTTCTCAAACGGCCAATTTTATTGTAATTTGCCTCTGTCAAACGGTCACCTTGTTACATAGCAATCACTAAATGGCGTATTTTTGGTGACAAAGAACTCTCGCTAGCGCTGAGCAAAGTGACTTGCTTCACCAAATTAGACGACCATAACTGAATTTCTCTCTTCATGTTGAATGAGATTTTAAAATTGCCGATGATGTGCTTGATTGTAAACACGCGCTCCCTTAAGAACAACATTACTCCATTCAGCGGTCACCTGGCTAATTCCCGAAGATGATCGCCTAATAGAGGTTTGACTGTAGAGGGTATCCTCAGATGGGTACTCCCTATAACGTCCTTAAAGGGTAGGCTCCACCCCAAAGGGGCACACCTTTTTTTAGGCTTCAGATAAATGAAAGGAAAGGTATGTCACAACGGAGTAGGAAACAATTTGATTTCGATTTCGGTCTACAGAAGGACCTAAAATGGGATAACACATGCATTTTATGGCTTTGAAAATAGACAAGAAAATTTTTGGTCTAGTGGTATATTCAGATTGAAAAGAGGGTGCATTAACAGGAGTCAAAAGGACGCTGTTTTCTAAACTAGGTATATGAAAGAGGTCGCATTTGTCAATAGAAGATATGCAAGCTCACCCGGGCGCTCTGGCGGCGGGGCACTCGAGAACTTGCTCGCTGGCTGTGAAAAATCCGTGCCCCCCCCCCCCCCCCCCCCCCCCCAAAAACACACCAACAAAGGAGCCAAAAAAAAAACACACTGAACGGTGGGAGGAAAAACACATAAGTAATGAAAAAATAAAACAACCATAGGTAGACGAAGACCCCCGCAACATAACCCACCAAACACCCTCACACAGCACGGCGGCGTCCCCAACA